AAGTTATATATATATATATATATATATATATATATATATATAAATAGTTTATAGTTTAACGTAATAGTTTATATAACTGTTAAACATGAAATCAGTTTATCAATTGCAATCTTGTCTTTTGTTTGTTACAGTTTCCAATATTACATTTACCTTCTTTATTTTCTATAATTATGCCAACACGAATCATTATTGTAATAATTAATTACAACTTTGATTACAAAAATAATGATCAAAATTATAATTATTATTGCGATTAGATGAGAGGATAATTTCTGTATCCTCTGGGAAATGTTTATTGATATGAAACATTGATATCAGCATAAGGTTGATTAATTCCACGTAATTGTTATTCAAAGAAAGAAAATAAAGAAGGTAAATGTAATATTGGAAGCTGTTATATAAACTATTTATATACATAAAATTAAATATACAAATGTACTATTAATATCGTATATGTAGTGCAAGCTAAAAATATATATTTTTAGCACGTATTTGTATTGTTGAGCCATCACGAGTGCGTGACAGTATGATAAAATTTTTGGTTTTTTTTTTTAAATTTAATAGAAAGTTTCTAAAATTTTTTATGCGGCTAAGATATATTCCCAAGGAAAATCGATCTTTCCTTTTCGATAAATATATAAAAATCTGACATGCGCCTACAGTCCGCGCGCATACTATAAATCCTCATAAATATCTTTTGACATTTGGAGCAAATTGGGGTCGTCGAGATTAATTCTGCAGATATCACCTATACACAGTATTACTCGCCTCTTCGATGTTCTACTCACGCCGACTCCCTGATTCGCTATGGGGGTCTAAATAAATCCCCAACTGTAAATTACCCCGCGTTGCGCTCTTCACCCGTCACTTAAAGACAAAAACCAATTTGCTCCGGCTGATCTGATTCCACCCGCCGGGTGGTCGACAAAATGCTCGTCGATCAATTTATTTTTAAACTTTCCACCTTCCCTCCGCCTCGTGGAGACGTCATCGAACGCGAGAAAGTTTTGCGAATCGCGGTGTTTTTCACATCGAGGAATCGGAGGAATACCCTCTCTAAGTTTTTCGATCTTGGCACGTGTCGATGTCTAGGAACGTCGAGATGCTGGCCACCTCTTTGATTACATTGCGTAATAGCGATATTTGTGCGCGTCCGAACAGAAACGCACGCGATTCGCGCTTCACACGAAACATCGTGCCGAGATCCGCGCATGCCAGAATAAATTCGCGGTAATTCGAGTGCTCGTCTCATCGCATGTACAATTAGCGAATCTGAATTATAACGTACATACTGATTTGTTTGAAAAAAAAAAAAATCGATTTTATTTTAATAATTATATTTATACCAAATAAAAATACCATTAATACGAAATATCATTGTTGCTGCATATAACATATTTTTTATATTAGAAAAAATTGAATATTATTTATATTTATATTTGTTAATTAATTTATGTACATTACATATTTCACGTGCATACGTGAAGAAAAAATGATAGCTGACATGTGTTCAGGAGACTATCTTGAATTCCGAATTTTAGCTCTTTAGACTGACGCTATCTATTTTTCATATAAAACATGCCATGTCGTCCTTTCTCCTCATTTTAAGGCATCGGCACGATGCCGAGAGCAAAAAATACAATACTTCTTCGCATCGTATAAGGGATATATTCAGAAAGGTTCTTCCATTGTGCGAGTCCTCTCAAATAACTTCTTGGTCCCATTTTTACATTCGAATTTTTTTATTCTGTTTTTCTTGAGCTGTATTGCGTTGTCGATGAAAATGACATTTTGCCTTTTTGTGAAGCCAAGCTCGTCTTTCGGACAAACGTCTTTCATAGTATGCTATTGAAGCGATGATTTATATATATTTATATATGTAGTTTACAAATTCATATGATATTTCTGGATAAGAAAACTTTTAGATTATATCTCCTTTTTCTCTTTCTATGTAAACCGCAGAATATGGTTTTCTTCAAATTTTTCATTTTTTATGTACTTTCGTGTCTCAAGTATTTTTCGAATGTTAAAGTACTCTTTTTGCAGTTTTGCTCCTATTACACACAAAATGAAATTATCCGATCAAGAATAAAGTTGCATTGTGAAATGGAAGTCAATTGCACAGGCGGTAATAAGATTTTCTTCCGGTACGAAACTTATCTCTAAAAAGGGCAATAAAATTTATACTATGGAGAAAGAAACTATTAATTTTATTACGCAAAGAAGTTCTTATATCGCGAAGGAGTAATTCCGTTAACTAATTTCTTTATACTGTCAGTTCTAAAAATATTATCATCGCAATTTCATTACAAACATGTTAAAATAATAGATTTTAAAATAGTTTACCTGAAGAGGACAATGGATAAAGCTGTGAGAAAAATTAAGATACGAGGGAGCGCATCTTGAATGCATTCCGGGGCTGATTTACGAGAAACACGGGTTTAAACGGGTTGAAATGCATCCGACCACAATTTGCGGTTCGCAAGAGATGCATTTTTGTTACGAATTCGGCACAGATTAATTCGAAGTTTTGTTATTACGGCGGCATATCTTTTCCGCCTCGTTAAGCGCGATTTCTACGTTCGCGGGTAGCGATTGCGATTTTTCGGACGAGAAAACATGTCTCGACAAACAATGGCTGACGATATATCCTATCCTTTATTTTATCCTGCGATGTAATGGATTGCTCTCGTTATCATCCTTTTTATTTCCAGCCAAAACTATAGATCCTCTCGAAGAGCAATACGCTAAACATTGTGCATAAGAGCAGCTATTAATTTAAACAAATTTAAACAAATTTTATTAGAGACTTAAAATCAACGTCGTAATTAAAATCGGCTTTGAACAAAGCTTGTTTTATTTTTTGATTAATTTTAGTCATTTTCATTTATACATTCAAGTTTGACCGCTCTCGTGTTAGTGAGGAATAATGAAAGCCGAACGGATTGTTTTCGACTAAAATTCTGCTTCGTCAGATGTCGATAAATCTTTTTTCACACATTTATTTTGGGGTACTGTGTGCGTGTTCGTGTGCGTGTGCGTGCGTCTGTGCGTGCGTCTGTGCGCGCGCGCGTGTGTGTGTGTG